AATGAAGATAACAGTAAAAATTATCCCCGACGACTTTGAGGGGACTCAAATTGAGACATAGTGAGAACAACCCCCAAGCCTTGGCATTTATCTACCTTTTGAGTTGACACTCATGGTTTATTAAAGACTACTAGAAGGGTATTCGCGCAATGCAGTGTGATACATAAGGGTATTTGTCTAATGCAGAGTGATGTATCTTGTTTATGAAGTTGAGAATTTAAATCTTCGATCCTAATTCATGATTTAATTTATTTTGTGCATCTCTTAATTTTTATTTTATGGTTTTCTATGATTTTGAGAGAGGAGATGAGTATTTGGTTGGTTATCAATTTTATGTAGTATTCTGCAAGTGTACTCAAGCAGTACATCTCTATTTTTGTCTCTCTCTCTCTCTCTGTTTTATTTTAAATCATTCATCTTTATTTTGCTTCTCTCTGTTTTATTTTAAAAATCATTCATTTCTATTTTGTCTCTCTCAATTTTATTTTAAATCATTTATTGAGAATGTAAAAAGTAAGTCTTTATGTTGATGTGTATGAGAAAAAAATAGTCAGTAAGGTTACATTTAACAATATACAGGATTGCATTTAACCCACACTAAAAAGATGAAAGATCCTGCGAAAATAGAAGTTAAGCTAAGAAACATAAGAATGAATATAGATCATTGATTACTTTTAATTTCAACCTGACCCCTTGAATTGTGTTTATCATGGAAATTGATCTGGTGCATCACATTAGCGTTGATCTACAATTATGATTGATTTAAGAGTAAAGATTTTTTCTTATCTTTTTCACCATAACTTTCATTCTCACCATACAATCCCATTAAAAATTTATATCTTTATGATCCGTATATCTATATATTTATATTTTAATAGATAAATAATATGAAAAAGGAAAAGGAAGCAAAAGGAACACTCGTTGAATATATTCTACGAGTCCGAAACCTTTTTGGGAATTAATGGCCTCTTTTGTTACCTTTATGACGATGAGCAGAGATTTGAAAGAAAAAAAAAGGACCAACCATTGTAACGTATTTACAATTATTTGATAATTCAATTTAATAACATCTTACAATATTTTAACTTTTAAAACATGATTATATTTTTATAATAAAAAATTATTTGTCCTGTCGAACAAATTTAAATATAAAACTGCCTCACATTAATCGTACTTGAAATATTTTTCATAAAAAAATTAAAAAAAAAGATGTCAATCACAGTTAAGTTTAGAGTGAACTATACTTTTGATTCCTGCAGATTACTTAAAGACTGGTGTGTTTTTCCTAATGATTGCTAAGTGACGATGTTAACTCCAAAAACTCTGAGCGTTATGAAATTGAAAAGTTATGGAACATCAATAAAGGTGGTTCGTTTTAAGGACAAAATCCAAAATGTGAGCAAACCATAAGGACCGGACCACCAATGTGATACGCTCTGTCTTTTTTAAAGGTTAAATTTATAAATTAACGAGTCTTATTTTAAAAGGGGGTGAAAAATCTTCCTTGACTACATGAAAATTGAATGACGGTCACATTTTTATTAAATATACCGTAACAATGATTATATTTGTATCAATTTAAGCGAATACAATAAGACAAGAAACAAAGTAGAACTCCTCATAAAGATGGTCACTCTATTCTATTCAGTAAATGGCATTTCTGTGTACATTTTCTTCTCCACAAGCCCTAATTTCGAGTGAGACCTGATGAGAGTGTTCGATTTGCCTTTATTTAATCAAGTTAGAATAACGTTAGACAAACGTTTAGGTTGCTGAACTGCAATTGAAGTCAATCAAAATCAACATGCCTTTTGCTACTTACTTTGCATCTCTTATAAGCTCATCATGAATGCACCATGGAAGTTCGGAACATGATTATGTAGCATTTTTGGATTGTCGCTACCTAGTAACAAGGATGATACGTGACATGATAGATTGATAGCAGATTTTTACATAAACATCGTTACCTCCAACATCTAGTTCTCATATCCGGTTCTTGGCTCCATTCCTCAAAGATTTGACGATTAAACCAACCACTTCAGCATCATTCCTCCTATCAGAAGATCTCGACGTTGGTCATGATACTACCATTAAGATCAACTGGTGACCAACTTGTTATCATATTTCATTTTGAAATCACATGCTTCACCAGCAAAGTCCTCAAAAACACTTGTTTCCACGGGAACATCATATGTCGAATGTATGCCTTGCCACATTCCTTTGGAAAGGGGATAACTAGGCATTTTGTTGCGCTATGTCTTACACCGACAAGTATAACCTCTTGATTGCATTTTTGATTTAGAGTGACTTGGCCATGCTTTCCAATGAATTTTAGGCACTCCTCAATGCATATGTTTGTTGGTATCTTTATCGGAAGACCAACATTTAGGAAACACGTGACAATTGATAACAAATTTGTAAGCTCTACACAAATTTCAACTTTTGCTTTGTTAGGTTCTGTATTTGCAAAGACTATGTTGCCACTCAATGATCTTATAACTTAAGGATAATTTGGGAAAGTCGTATTTCGCAGGACCTTTGGCTCATTGCATCATTTTTGATTCCCGTGTCAGAGTCTTGAGTCATTTTGATTGTTGGTAACTCGGTGATAAGGCTATGGGTGGTCTTGGCTTCTTTGTTTGGTTTAGTTCATATTAGTTTTGTTTTGTGTTAGCTTGTTTCGGGGTGGTTCTGCTGCTTGTAGAAGCACAAGGCGTATTTGTGTATGTTTTTTGGGTTTTTAATAAATTGTTTGCCTTTCAAAATATTTTTTACTACAGTTGTTGTTTAGTATAATATAAGGCTCTAAATGATATGAGACATGGTCAGTCTCAAGCCTTATGAGACACAATTTACAAGAGACCATGATGTTTTTTAAGGTGTGACATATGACAGAAAATCTTTGTATCACGCATAGTATGATATATGTACATTTGGGATCATGTGAGACCAACATTTTTTTGTGAGACCCCTGAGATCAACTTTTTTACATTTAAAACTTCACTGTAAATACCGGAAAAGTAACATTCATAGTGGTTTTGTTGTGAATTTTTAAATTCTTTTACCTTGAAAATATTTTACTGTAAATTTCGAGTGTAAAAGTATGGTCTCATAGATCTCATAAAAACAAATTAGTCTCACGTAAATTCAACTTTATATATATATATATATATATTACTTAATAAAATCAATAATATTAAACATTTATTAAGTTATATATTAAAACCCAACAAAGGAAATAGAAAATAAGAACAATTAAATATTTGGTTACAAAAACCGACCAGATGTTTTCCCATGTCATACCAAACAGGGATTATTTTTTTCTGTCTCATCCTGTGGTCATCGCGTACCAAAAGCACCCTTAGATAACCGATCGTGTCCAGGTTTGATCATGTTTCCAGGTTATATTTCTGGATCATCTCATGTTTTTGATGATTATACTTGCTGCAGCGAGCATTTCATATCATTAGTTGTCTTTTTTGTAGGTAATCAAAGATTGAGTGATTGCGCTTCGTATGGACTGATTACTACGCGCCTAGAAGAGGCTTATTAATTTATGAACAAGTGCATGGATCATTGCTTGTTTCTGGTATCGCGTGTGTAGAAAGTGTATGTTTGATTATTTCTATCATTATTTAGGTTTTGTTTATATGACTTCAATGTCGTTGACAACGTTTATTCAAGAGCCATGTTTGATTATGATGAAATTTTCCGCCGTTTCTTTGTAGGTTGTTCATTACTTTTTCATAATTGTTACAGTAGATTTCACTCGCCAGATTCAGACAGAGGCTTGACTCGAAAGTCTGGTTTCAGGTTCGTCATACCTGTTTGTTTACCAGTTGAATATCATTATCTCGACATCATGAAATACTTTTGGTAATTTGATTCCAATCTCATTATCCATACATTCTCTGGTATTCTTTGTCCTCCCTTAAACCCTAGTGGTTCCAGTCTCATTGACTTTCCCTTCATTATGCTTTGCCAACACCACTAACGGATCCCAGAATGTGACCAAACTTTGGATTTCACGATTAACATCTTTCAACGGATTTGACATTTGAGATTCAATTTGTCTAGAAATGGTAAAGTTTCGTTTGATTTGGTAGTGTCTTGCCCATTTTTTGTGGTTTAGCTTAAAATAGGTTAGTATTTTGTAGATTTAGTGGGCTGTTTTTCTGTGGTTCTACTCCATTTACCATCATGAGGGCATCATCTCCTATCCTGAATCTCCTCAATCGACTCAAGCATCCATGTCCATGGGTTCACGACTACCTATATGCTCCTACCTTGTTCATTGAGGAACATTAAGTGGCTAAAGGTTAACAGGGGGAGGGGGAGGGGGAGTTGGGTATGCATTTTATCCATTGATTGTGGTTTTCTTCCAATGGGTTTGAGCTTTTGTTGTTTCAATTTGTCTAGATATGGTAGTTTCATTTAGTTATGTGGCGTATTGCCCATTTTGTGGTTTAGCTTAGAGTAGGCTACCATTTTGTAGGTTGTGTGAGCTGTTTTTGTGTGGTTGCTCCAATTACCATCTTGGATGTGGAGCTTGCCTTACTAGAGGCACCAATCTCCTCCATTGATGCAAGTTAACAAGTGACGGTTTCATTCAACTCTCTTCATCGAGCTTTCTTTTGCATCCAATCATGTCTTATTTGGATCTAGGAGGACATACACTACCGAAACTCCCCATCTCATTTGGTTTGCAAATATTGGTGTCAGGTCTGAGAACTGGCTTGATTAAAGCTTTACCATAAGAAAATGGGTACTTTTTTACTAGCTTACTGACCGTAATAATTTGTGCTATGATTGTGTTGTTTGACTTCTATTGTAGGCCTAGCAATACAGGTTATATATAGTAGCATCTGTTACATATGTCTTTTCACCATGTATGTGTATGGTTGTGTATATCTCAAGGTAATTTTAAGTTATTACATTTCACACTGTGGGTAGTCTTCATGGGTAATTGTTAAAGTTTTCACTTTTCTTGCAGTTGGGTAATTTTCCGATGGGTGGTTACTTATGTATGTACATATAAATACAATGCAATAGCATTATCTTTTGTGGTAACAGAACTTTTGGGATTATGTTAGGCATGATTTTGGCGGTCTGAAACTTGTTGTGTTGAAGGTTATATAACACATGGAGAGGTGGGAAGAAATGACTGTTCATTACAAAGGCTGCGATATTTCTAAGCAACAAATCTATCATTTCCACACACACGAGAATCGTCAATCTATGGTGTGGAATTGCTGAAGGCTCTCAAAGAAGCCATAACCGCATACACCTGAATCTGAATGTTTTCTTCACTGTAGTAATTTTTGGTATTTCTGTCTATTAGATCGTCTCCATTTTGTCACAACGGTCATGTGTTCATCATCCATAGTGTCCAGGTTTTCAAATAAGATATGCAGCCTCTCCCGCCACGGGTTCAGCTCTGCAAGATCTCCGAGGACTTGAAGGCCTACAAGGGCAACAACCCCAAAAAGCCTCTTCTTATGGCCATTAAGGGTCAATCAAAACAGGTATATATTATTGGAATCTTCTTCTAACATAGCTATTTTATCGATTTTGGGTAGTGAATTATCCTTTATTAGAACTATTTTGATGCATCTTTAATTCTCTTTGTATTCATGCTTCACCTTTTCAGGCAAAAGCATAATTCATATGAAATTGATGAGATTATAGTTTTTCTTCCTCTGACTTGTGACACACTACTAATACTTGTTGTATTAGCTCAAGACAATAGCACACACAGTAAGTTCTTCCATTACTGTTGATAAATAATTAGGGCATGTAAATCCATTTCATCCTGTGATTAATTTTATGTTGGAATGAATCATCGTTAGATTAATATACTGACTTAATGAATCAGAAAAATGTGCAATGAAAGTTTAAAAGAAAATCTAGAAGGAAGAACACCAAGTGTAAGAGTTCAAGCTTCGAGTCTGATTAGTGCATCTCGCACTTCCAATTCAGTCCGAGTTAGAAAAAGTCAGTCCTCCAGAAAGCCTCAGTGGTGGGTTGTGGCCAGCTCAACATGCTGTCAATCTTGCTAGTGCATACATCTTAAGCATTTATCAACCATCTTTAAAAGGTTCGATCTCTATCTTTATTTAAAGTCTTGCAAGTTTTGAAATATATAAGGTACTAGTAATTCACTTGAACCGGAATGAGGCCATTATAGAGTTGTTTAATCTAGAGCTTAATTGAGAACTACCAACAATTTGACTTTCTGTAAAGTCAAATTGTGGTAATGAAGTTTACTTGAAATGTTTCAACTACATTTTCTATATAAAAACAGGTGCTTTTACATGGTGATTCAAAGGTAGATAACAAGACATTTGACGTCTTATAAAAGAAAACAATTTTGCATTAGAACCCAAATTAGAGCATTTCATATACAATTAAAGAGTAAGAAACTGAAATGAGATGTAATTAAAGATGTATGGAAGTTTTGTAATCATCAAAACAACATTTTACGAACAAACTTTCTTCAAAACTAGTTCTATGTAAATTTGAGTTTTGTACCATAATATATTGACCTATACTTGGGTAAAAACCAAACTATGAATGTTTTATTGGGGTTTTAATAAGATAATAATGATTCAGACACACAAATGTACGTTGAATGAGATAGAAATCAAAAGTATGCACGGTTGACTTTTGTAAAGTCGAAATGTGGTTTTGATTCAAATAAAGAGACTTTTGACACAAATTTGAGTATAAGAAACTTATGACTGGATTTTATGGAGTTCCAACTTCCAAGTAGTGTAGAACAGTACCCAAAATGGATTTGAAGGATATAAGCAAATTTGAGTTTGAAACCAAAAAGTGCAATGGTTTGATTTTTAGAAGGTTAAATTGTGGGGTTTTTTCGCACATTAGCGATGTTTTGCCTGATATCTAAGTATGATCAAGTTATGACTAGCTTCATAGGGTACTTAAGACACAAATGAATGCTTTCATAATGTTCTAAAAACATCATAGAGTGGATTTGGGCATAAGATTTCAAAACAGTAAGTTGGAACATGAAACAATGCAAATGGCATGAGAAGTGTATGTGTACATCACTCAGAACCAGGTTGGACCATAGGTCCTTTTTCAGACCAGATAAAAGGCCAGACCGGTTCGGTGTTTTCCTTTTTCCCCTTGTTTCCTTTTTTTAATAAGTTAATTTTTTTTTTTGCCTTTTTATCCTTTTCTTTAAACGCACCAGACCAAACGAAGATTGGACTTTTTGGATCAAATCAAGTCATAGCAATGGTCAAGGTTTGGTCTTTAACCTTTGCCTTGCTAGATCGAGACTGGTCTGGGATTTTTTAGACCGTTAACTAGGTTTTGATCAAGTCAAGCTTTTTCGGTTGGGACCGGTCCGTGTGCAACCCTATTGGTCTCTCACCGTCTCCACTGTGTTCCCCCACTATGTTAATAGATCATCCTAACATTTAGGAATGCCTCGACTATGGGACATGTCAACATAGTGGAATGACTATTTTGTAGGGAAATTTCCAAATGTTAATACTTTTAGTGGCACTAGCATGAGCAACACTTGAATGCATCATACAACAAGAATAGCATTGACAAACATCTTTAGCATTTGCAAAAGGGATATGTCTAAAAACATTTGTGAGGTAGTGCCTCCTGAAATTGCCGGCAGTAGCATGATTAGGAAATATGTGACAGAATATTGAGTGATGGTAGTGCCTCCTGAATTTGCCAGTAGTAGCATGATCACTTTACCTTCACTTTGACTATGAGACAAGATTTGATTATGATAAAGAGTTTCTTCTTACTTATTTCTTTGATTGCAAGTTCATAATTTTCTCATGAGACTATGGCGCCATATTAATTCTGGTAGAGGTTTGATTGCAACGTCCCCTGTTTTTGGCGGGTCCTCATGCCTGTTTGTTTGCAAATCATGCATCATCTACCTTAAGGGAACCATATATTGTATGTTCTTTTTGTTTGTTTAAATTTGTGTTATTTATTTATTTTTATGTTTATTATTATTATACTAATTGCAAATCGTCGTTAAAAATAAATCAAAAATACAAATGGGATTTTTAATCGGTTAATAAGTATGGTATTTATAAGATTGATATGATTATCAAAATAAAATCGATTTTCCGAGAATTTTTAAAACATGATTATGAGACTTATTTTTATAAAAGGAATAAAATCAAATGTTTTATAAGTTTTTAGAATGATTCAAAATATAGAACTTTTTTCGGAAATACATGACATACGCTACTCATTTAAGGTACTTGTCAATATATTATCCACTCGAGTATATTTCAACTATGTCGAATGAAAGTAATATGTGATGATATGCTACAATAATAGGATCCAAGTGGACAGATGGATTTGGCCATTCATTTAGATGGTTGTGATATTGGATGTTCATGATATCTTAGTATGGTTAGTTTTCCTTGAAATATTTATAGACAATGACTTGGTCATTTATAGATATTTCATAGCGTGCAAGTGGGATTATAGATGCCAACATGCAACGTACAACATATGCGCGTGCCTTTGTCTATGAGAAATGGTTACTTAGGGGCCGTTTAACAAACACTTACCCGGGTAAGTGCTTGCCAGTCATGTTACCTCACCAGGTGAATATGGTAAGGATCAAGAATCTTACCCGGTAAAAGCGAGACAAGGACCATAAATCTTAACCGGTAAGTGAAGACGATGACTCTTACCACGGTAAGCACTTACCAGGTAAATTGTTGCATATGATATCATTTTGGTGGACTAAAATCTTACCGGGTAAGTAAATAATAGTGTTAAATTTTACCGGTAAGCACTTACCAGGTAAGTATTTGGTAAACGGCTCCTTAGATAGGTATCATCCAAGTGCATTTAATGTAACTCTTAGATATTTGTGAAATATGAATCTTAGCTCAGTTAAAATGAATTCTAAAAGATCAATTCATTTATTGAGATTTTAAAGTTATTAAAGTTGAACTTAGTTTTTGTAGATGTCTGCTAATACCACAAATACAAGCACAGTCGCAAGCAACTCAAACTTATCCCAATTTACACTGCAATCAGTTCTTGATAAGGAAAAAACTGATGAGACAAACTTCCTACGTGAAGAATGTTAGAGGGAGCTACACCATGACAAATCTATAGAGGAGGATGGACGAATGAATTCAGGGAGGAAGTGAAGAATGTTTTTTTTTCCGAAGGTGGTATGGGAAAAAGGCTGACTGAATGTATATGACTCTAATTTATGAGTTGAAGGAATCAGCCCTTTATTGGCCTATTAAGCCATTTATTAACATTTATGTATGGCCCTTCGCTTACTAAATAAGCTATACATGTTATAAATTCTGTTTGAAACTTTGCTAAACTTAGTTTTAAAGAACCTGTGGGTATTAATTAATGCATCTCTGTATGCAAGTATATATAAGGAGTTAGTGGTAAACAAAGATGATCATTGTGTGTATGTGTGATTCTACTCAGAAAACGACCTAATCTCTCTTATATACTCTCCCAAGTCTTATTCTAACAAATTTGTTTGTAGGTTTCTTTAATTTTTCTATGATATTTAGTTCTGTTGACAGATAAAATTAACTTGATATGTTGGTGGGAGCAGTTTTGGGGTCCAAGACATTGAGTTGTAAACTCGAAATGGGTGTCTCATTTATAAACATTTTAAATTCGTGTATATATATATATATATATATATATATATATATATATATATATGGGAGCGATCAAATGAAAATCACTCAATTTGTAAAAACCGTAAAAAATTCATTCAACCAATCATAATTTTTCATTTTGTTCATTTTTTTGTAATTATGAGAGGTTAATTAATCATTTTTATTGTGAAGGGTGTTAATCATGGATATTATCATCTTCATTATTTTAATTTTAGAAAAATACTTGAAACAGTTTCATTAAAATTTCATTAAATAGTATATGAAACAATTTCATAACCATATATGAAACAACTTCATCAAAAAAAGTATTATATAAAACAATTTACAAGATTAAACAATTTCATGAAAAAATTTCATAAGATTAAACAACGAAATCGACGGATGAGGGTGGTTTGCACAATTTTTACAAATTGGAGTGGTTTTCATTTAATCGCTCCTCTCTCTCTCTCTCTCTCTCTCTCTCTATATATATATATATATAGAGAGAGAGAGAGAGAGAGAGCGCTTGGTTCAAATACTAACCAAGATTTTTGTGTTAACTTTGTTAACCAATCTTGGCTATTGATTCTTACAATAAAAGATTGTGATTAATCATGATAAAAAATTAAAATTTTAAATTTATAATTTCAAAGAACATATGTAAACAAAGAAAAAAGGGTATTTAGATAATTTTCTTTTTTATGTAACTCCCATATCATTAATTGGGAGTTACAAAATCAAAAAATCTTATTATTTTTATTAATGTAAGAACCATATGAACACACACACACACACACACATGCGCGCGCACACACACACACATATACACACACACACACACACACACACACATATATATATATATATATATATATATATATAT